ATTTTTCTCACAACCATCACTCGGTAAGGGATGAAAGAGAGAGATTGCCCCAAAGTCACTCTCATGCTTTCATGCCTAAAAAAGGACTATAAGCCTCCAAGTTTCTAGTCTGGCACCACACAGATTTTTCTCCATGATGTCATACCACTTTAATTATTATTTTATTCTTCTCTTTAATTTTATGAACTTACAATGTACCTATTTCGCTTTATTTCATTCCATTTATTCAAACTGGTAATTCTTACATCGTGTGTCACAATTCTCCCTAGGTGATAGCTATCATCTGTATGAACCATTAAGGCTTTGGTTAACTAAGGTTTTCACATAATGTTTTTCAATAATATAGGAAACTGCAAATTAGGTTACTAGTCTTAGTCATATCCATGCCAGATATAGCATTCCCCGATTATAATAAGAACAGCATCTATCAGTTTTTAACACATTTTGACCTGTATGAAACAAGTTGAAGAAAAACCCAGTTTTACTCCAAGGATATTTCTCTAAAAATATGAGCGTCAGAGAATTGATGTTTTTAGATTGTGGTGCTTGAGAAGGTCTTGAGAGTCCCTTGAACTGCAAGATCAAATCAGTCAATTCTAAAGAAAATCAACCCTGACCTTTTCAAATAAGGGCAGAAGCTGAAGCTCAAATATTTTGGCCACCTAATGAGAAGAGAGGAGTCATTGGAAAAGAACCTGATATTGGGAAAGATTGAAGGCCAAGAGGAAAACGGGAAGGCAGAGGATGTTAGATAGTGACAAGGACACAAATAAAAATGAATTTGAGCAAACTCCAGGAGACACTAGAGGACAAAGGGGGCCTGGCGTGCTATGATCCATGGGGTCATGAAGAGTCAGATACAACTTAGCTATTGAACGACAACAAAAGGAACTCTAGTCTATAAAATCATCCTGTAAATCAACATACAGTTGCTCACATCCCATCAACCCAAGGCATATACAGGATACTGACACACACACAGGAAACCCAGGACAATTCTAAATATAAAAATAGAAATACATTTCGAACCAAATCTGATTATTTTTCAGAGTTAATGATATAGCTCTTGGTCAAAATTAAATAGTCATCAACTACCAGTAGAAATGAAGGATTTTTATTTAGGCTTCCTTAAATCTGATTATTTGCGTTCTAACTATTATTATGAGTATTTGCTAAGAGTCTATCATGGCTGAATGGAAATCTAATAAACCAACATGCAACACTTGGCTTTCAGAGTTTTGAAAACTTATGTCAGGCGAATCTGGAAGTGTCTCCTATTCAAATAAAACCAGAACAAAGAAATATGAGCATTTCTGTGTACAACCTCCAAGATAACAACCATTTTTCTTCTTAAAAAGAACATGTGAGCAATAAGCAAAAGCAATACATAAGCAGGTTTTAGGAAGATCCAGAAGCAAAAACTGGGACCAAAAGATGAAATTGCTTCACAGATGACTAGCTTATTCATGAGAGAAAGAGCTCATCATCTTTTAATAATCCTCACTTCTACACAGAGAATAGTCAAACCACATTAATCAAACCTCCGAATACATGCCCAATAAGCAATGGTAGCAGACTTCAAGATACTGTATGGCATTATTGAATCTACATCAATTAATTCAGAAGAGCAAAATTATGCCCGAGTTATGCAGTTTGTGATAGCATGAAAGATTTCACAGCCAAGGGCTGTACTAAACCATAATATGCTTTGATTAGCTTTGGCTTAGTATGTAAACTCTAGCACTGAAGGGTTTGTAAATTGTATTTAATGGCTTAGGGCGTTGTGGGAATAAAGCCAAGTGTAGCTTATAATGACAGCCATGGTTACAAGCGTCCTCCAGGATTACATTGGGTGCTGTGATCATCAGGGTTCATACATTAGACGTTCAGAAAGCCCACGCGGTTAAAAATGTGGTTTAGGATTGTGCAAACCAACCAGCGTACTTTATTCAGTAAGCTTGGTTAAGCATACCAGCACACCGCTGCAAAAGTCACGCTTTCTCTCTCTCTCTCTCTCTCTGATCCACACGCACACACTCTTCACCGTCTTAGCAATGGTTTGCGGCTATGCCAGTCATTTGCATGCTTCGAAGCAAAAGGCGTTGACTGGTCAAGGCGCTTCTCAGGTGAGCAAGCGGGCAGGTGACCTTAAGGAAGTGCGCGGGGAAGGGGAGGCGGATCGCTTTCCTGATTTTGCAAAGCACACATCCGGGCATTCCCCAGAGAAGAATGAGTGCATCTGGCACCCAGAGAAGCTTGTTTTCCCCCGTTGCAAACATCCAACCCCCACCTATCCACCCACTCTTGGTCCTCCTACGTCTCGATTCTCAGTACGACTGGGAGGCAAAAAGGAGGAGGCAGGAGGGAAAGAAGCGGAAACAAAATGGAGACTTACGCTCGCTCTGCCAGCTACTGCGCGTGCGCCGTCGGTAAGACATCCATATGACGAGGAGACTGAAGAAGCGGATCAAGCCGATGCCCAGGAGTGGGCAATTGTATTTAAATGGTATGGGCGTAGTTAAGAGTTTTAGCGGCCACGCACCGGAGGAAACCTGCGGATTTGGTGGCTGCCGGCTATCCCGCTCGTCCCTAAAAATCAGACTAGGCTGACGGCGGGCGGGAAGACATACATTCAGAGATTAAAGATATTAAGTGATCACCGGGCGGAGGATAGAGTCGTCTCCCTTGCGTTCTTTTCCCGGGGCAAAAATCGGCGCTTTCTCTTGTGGAACGTTCAAAAGAACTCGTGTAGCAGCCTTATTACACCTGGGTGTCTCTCTCTCCCACAAATTTTAAAAGATGAGATCTTCTGAAGCTGCGTCTGGCATGATAGCAGTATTCCGGTATTTGAGAGGCTGCCCAAAAGACGAGGGGGGGGGTGTCAACCTATTCTCCAAAGTACCAGAGGGCAGGATTCAAGGAGAGAAGCAACCTGGAATTAAGGAGAAACTTCCTAACAGTGAGGACAATTAACCAATGGAACAGCTTGCCTTCAGAAGTTGTGGGTGATTCATCACTGGAGGTTTTTAAGAAAAGACTGGACAGCCATTTGTCTGAAATGGTATAAGTAACCAAGTCTTCTCTCTCCAATTCCGTATCTATTTTGATCTGCATATCTCTTCTGCTCCCCACAGTGTCGCTCTGACAAGTTGGACTGCTTTTTTTGTGAAAAGACAGATGCAAAGTAGGAATTAATCAGGTCATCTTTCTTTTGCTTGTCACCATCTTGCCATCTTCTTTGCCATCTTGAAAGTTGATTTTTATTATTATTTTTTAAAAAAATCTCCAAACGTTTTATGTATTTGGGCAAGCATTTTAAATATATGATATGACATATTACAACAATGAAAACACTATCCACTGAAAGCAACTATATTTAAATCCCTGAAATTTATCAACTGAAAACACATAACTACACTTCACTGATTTCAGTGAGACATGTCCATATTATTCTACATAAAGATAATAATAAAATTGGAAGGGATCTTGGAGGTCTTATAGTCCAACCTCCTTCTCAGGCAGGAAACCTATACCATTTCAGACAAATGGCTGTCTAGCCTCTTAAAAACTTCCAGTGTTGGAGCATTCACAGGTTCTGGAGGCAGGTTGTTCCACTGGTTAATTGTTCTAATGGTCAGGAAGTTTCTCCTTAGTTCTTGGTTGCTTCTCTCCTTGATTAGTTTCCATCCATTGCTTCTTGTCCTGCCTTCAGGTGCTTTGGAGAATAGCTTGACTCCCTCTTCTTTGTGGCAGCCCCTGAGATATTGGAACATGTCCCCCCCCTCGTCTTTCTCTTCATTAAACTAGACATACCCAATTCGAGCAACCGTTCCTTATATGTTTTAGCTTCCAGTCCCCTGATCATCTTTGTTGCTCTTCTCTGTACTATTTCTAGAGTCTCAACATCTTTTTTACATCGTGGTGACCAAAACTGGATGCAGTATTCCAAGTGTGGCCTTACCAAGGCATTGTAAAGTAGTATTAATACTTCAGGTGATCTTGATTCTATCCCTCTGTTAATGCAACCCAGCATTGTGTTGGCCTTTATGGTAGCTGCAGCACACTGCTGGCTCATATTTAAGTGATTGTCCACTAGGACTCTGAGATTCCTCTCACAGTTACTACTATTGAGCGAGGTACCACTTATACTATACCTGTGCATTTGGTTTCTCTTGCCTAAATGTAGAACCTTACTTTTTTCACCATTGAATTTCATTTTGTTAGATAGCACCCAATGTTCAAGTCTGTCAAAATTCTTCTGTATCTTAACAGAAATGTTAACAGAAACACCAATTATTTTATAATTAAAATATTAAAAAAATGAAATCTGTAAAGATACTTTCATTCTGATTATTAATAACAAGAAACTATACTTTTTAATCTAGCATGCATATCTAAGATAGTTATTGATAGACATCCAACCTTATTTTTGTTCAGAGACTGCTCTTATATTTTATATAATTTTATGTTACTGTACTACCATTAAAATACTGATTTATACATCTGTTTTGATGGGGGGAAGGGTTACTGGTGCACACTGCCCTAATTTGCACATTGATTGGATGACTATGTAATTCAGAGGTCCCCAACCTTTTGGGCACCAGGGACCAGTTCCGTGGAGAAAGATATGAGTGTGTGGTTTTGTGTGCTGCCTGCATCCCACGGATGGGGCTTTACTTGATTGTGTGGACCGGTTGCTGGCATGCTGCGACCTGGTACCAGTCCATGGACAGGGGGTTGGGGACCCCTGATGTAATTGATTTAATAAATAAATACATCAAACTTGACAATAGGGCTAGAGTTTTTTGCCCTTTAATTTTTCTGTGCTTTTATAGAACCAAATAATCTCACAGCTTCTACCTTTATTCCATTATTTCCTGCTGAGATTGCAAATATATATTACCTCGCCTAAGTGCCTTTCTGAAGAGAAAGATGAAACCTTGTTTCAGGAGACCAGGCCAAAATTACTTTCTAGAATAAGCATTTACAGGAAAAAAATATCTTCCAACATCTTTTATATGCAGTATTTTTTCCTGGTCTGTTACTGTTCCTAAATGTAATGAAGGAAATCCTTTTTCCTAAATTAGCACCATGTAAATGTAGTTATTTTTCCAACTTCTAACTTCTGTAAACAGTCTTTTTAACCTTCTCTTGGAATGAGTAATGGCATACATCAATTCCATGATGTTTCAGTTTGAACCTGTAACAAAACAATACAGGAAAAAAAAACTTTTATTTTTCAATTTAAGTATATTTAAAAAGAAGAAATAAAGTAAGTAAAGAAAGAAAGAAAGTAATCCAGTTTAATGATTGTTCAAAGTTACAATGGACCCCAAAAAATTACAACTGTCATACACAGTCCATGGGTGTCCACGGTCACATGATCTCATTGTGGGTGCTTGTCCACCGGCTCGCATTTATGACCAGTTGAAGCACGCTATGGACACATGACCATGATTTGGGACATGTTTTGCTGCTTTCTGTCAAAAAACACACATTCAGGAGAATGGACTTGCTTAAAGGCCATGTGGTTTTCTTACTTACCGTGTGATTCTCTTAAGTGAGGACTAGCTGTAGTGATTAAAGCATCAGGCTACGGACTGGGAGACCATGAGTTCTAATCACAGCTGAGATACAAAGTCAGCTAGGTAACCTTGGGCCAGTCACTTTCTCTCAGCCCTAGGAAGGAGACAATAGTAAAGTTGTTTGGAAAAGAAACAGAAGGAACTTGTCAAAGCAGTCTCTGAGAATCAGAGATAATTTAATGGAAGAAAAAAATATACAAGAAACAGGAAATGGCAACAAACAATGTAGTATGGATTGCCTCAAGACATTCTATTAAGTCAAGTTTTTCTTCACCCATGTTTTATTGAATAAGCCATAAATGAATAATTATGGGTAACTTCACACATTACACTAAACCAAAACTGAAGCACATTCTCTTTAGCACAATGGGTGAATCTCCTATCAAAACCCACATTTCTTAAAAAACAAATACAGTATGCAAAGGAGCCCAACTGTATTCCTAAAATGCAAGATTTACTGTACATCAAGAAGTAGAAATTAACTAAGGAAAACGAATTTCTTCAAAGGGTAATACAAACCTTCAGAATAGCTCTTGAAAAGCATACAAAAAATTGCTAGGCATCACACTGAGGCTGCAAGCTAAGGGCTAAATGATTTCCTGCAAGCTATAAAACTAACAATCATGTATACAAGTTAGACTTTTGCAGGAAAGCTGAAGTAAGATTGTAAGCACAGACAGTTTCACTTAGCAACTGCTTCATTTAATCACCAAGATGAAAATCCCAATTATGGTTGCTAAACAAGGACAACCTGTATTTTCCCAAAGTTTTGTGTTTCCGTTTTCATTTGATTTTATAAATCCCTTGATTTCAGAAAGTGAGAAAGCATATCTTCGCCAACAACTTTTTGTTTGAAGTTTTGTTTGGACAAATAATAATTTTGATTGGAGAAGAAAGGACTGAGTGCTTCAAGAGATTTTGAAAAACTGAATTAGAAAAGTTCTGGCATCAAACAAGTCAAGAATAATAATGTCTTTACAAAATTAAAATAAGTTCTGTAACAGGAAAAAAATGATCTGAAACAATAAATTACTTTTGGAAATTTTACTATCTAAAGAAAGGCTCTTGAGTTCACTCCTCTACAACTGCACAAAAACAACATACATTTGTCATGGTTCTGATAGATGAGACCAAAAGAAAATAATAACTCTGAGGCAATTGCATTCCTCAAAGAATACTTTTAATGGCTACATAGTATCGGCACAGTCAAAAGTGAAACCAAGACTGAAGGTTCCTTCCCCCCCCAGGATACAAAATAACAAGTTGAACTTCCCACCCCTATAATATGTCATAAATCACAAGCCCCACATCTCCGTTCTCCCATTGCTGTGGCAACCAAAAACGAGCCGGAGATGGCTGTGGCCAGGATCATTCGGTGCAAACCAACTCCAATTGCACTTAACACTGTTTTGTGGCTTTCCACAAACTGTGACCAGAAATTCTAGAACTGTTCTGCTTTCTCTCGTATTCCATCCTTTCCTTTTGATGTTCCTCCTTTCTCCAGTTATCCTGCTTCTTATTTTTTCCTTAACTAAAAAGGTTTGACTGACTTGGGTATCTGTCAGTTGGGAGGTGAGGGACAGTGGATAGCCTTTGATTTTTGAGAGCCTGCTGTGGGCATTTTCAGAAAAAGGCTGCCACTGTGATGGCTTGTGCTTGCCATAAACAGCCACTGATCAGAGAGTAAACAAGTGACACTGCTTCTTGATATCTGTCAGACCAAGCCCAAGAATAACATAGAACAGTACTGCCAAAGTTCAGTTCTTTACTTGCTTACATCCAATAGACAGAATCTTGCCAGACTACATCTTTAATACTGTCAATACAGGGATGTCAAACTGCTGGCCTGTGAGCTAGATGTGTCACCAGGAAACCACGCCTACCCCATTGCCAGCAGCGGAGAAAAGGTTTTGATATGTAACACGACATCATGTGACATCGCAAGTTTGACATGTCTGCCCTAATGGATAAACCATGGGAGATCCTAGAGCAGGGGTGTCAAACTGCCGGCCCATGGGCCGGATGCGTCATGCGTCATACCAAAACGGAAAAAAAGTCACGATACGTGACGCATCACGTGACGTTGTGAGTTTGACTCCCCTGTCCTAGAGAGTGACTATGCTCTCTTCCTCTGTTTCTTATCTCGCCTCCCCCCCCTTTGGAATGTGCTCCCTCACTCCTGAGAAACTACCACTTCACTTTAATCCATCACACATTCCTTCTAATTGCCCCTTCCCAGGGAATCCTTTTCTTCCCTGGGCAAAAATGAGCAAATATCCAAGAAAGCCCTATCACATACATACCCAATCATTTTTATTCTCTAAGAATACTTATGGGGCCAATGCAAGCTCCAGATAAATTCTTGAAAAGAAAGGTGACACTATAGGCTGGCATTTTTCCTTTCAGCATGTCAGTTTCCCACTGTTTCCTTTAATTAAAAGAATCTAAAGAAAAGAAGAAATTAAAAAGTCAGATGTGGTAGAGAGCTTGAGGTGAGCTCAAAGTGTGGGCATATTAGTGTGGTTTTTGTGGGCATATTAGTACTCAAAAGATTTCAGTCACTTCCTCACCGCAAGAATGAGAGAGAGAAAGTGAAAGAGAAAGGTAGTTTAAGGACACAGAAAGTGGACTTCCAAGGAAGAAATGAATGCAGAGCCAATGACCACAGTGGAATGAAGTGTCAGCGAGTAGTCTGGTTCTTCATAATTCTTCTCCAGACAGTGAGAGGGCTTGAGATCACCCACAAGTGCTCCTGACACTATTTCTTTTATTTTTCTTACTATATTCTTCATTTTTTTTTCTATTTATTTTTTCTTTGTTGCCCTTTGTTCTTTTTTTTTCAGTCTGTATTTTAATCTTTTGAATTGTAAGGCTTGATAAAATTACTATGTTAAAAAAAAACGACACAGGAAGTGAAGTACAGCTGAACAGAGGTCCACCAGGAGACCTGAGGTAGCAGATCTGACTTCCTTATAAGTTTGTACATTTCGCTTGCTTCTATTTTTTTGGTTATTTCTAAATAAAACGTTAGCGAAACAATCTCCAGAAAGTACAACAAAGGTTTTTGTACAATTTTCCCATGAAATTAATAATTTTTCAGATGCACACTGAGGATTATGCACAGAATGCTTTTTCAAGACCACACAAAGGTTATTTCAAAACTATCCACTGATTTTTATTATTATATCTTTTAGAAGGAAAACTGGCAAGAAATCCCAGTTCTGTCAGTACTAAAATACATTTGGATCAAAGCTTTTGGTGACTGCTAAATGAAAGGAGCAATGTAGAAAAGCAGAGATACGTGCTTTTATATAGATGGAGATGTATATATGAATCTACATATAGATTTAGCTTTTATCCCATGATTAATGAAGTGAATGTATACAAGTATACTTTGAGAATGCCTTAATTTTGCCAAAATTCAGATGCACACAATCTCATAGGCCTTTAATAGTAAATAATAATAATCTGCATGTATCTTATGACATCCTAGGTTCTTGAGAAGAATTCAATACCTATGAAGACCAACACCAGCTAAAAAACTGGTGACTTCATATTCTTGTGAACAAATAATAATAATATTATTCAAACCAATGCAATTAAGGCCAAAATTGAAAAATCATCGAATGATTCAAAGAGCAGACTGTGCAAAGGAGCAGAAAAAATAGATCATATACTCAGCTCATACAGGAAAATTGCACAAACAACACAACACAGTCACCAAAATGATTCATTGGAACAATCTGTAAAAATTATCATGTACTAGTAATGAAAAATTTGTGGGAACATGTAGTTTGGAAAAAAAGTTTATAAAAACTAGCAGGTTAAAATAAAAACTGACAAAATTTTGGCCTCTAACAAATAACAACAACTACAACAACAACGATGATGAAGATGCACTGAAATTAGTATATTAGGAAGGCTTACTGACTACTGGAGAGACCAAGCTGGCCTACAAGAAAGACCAAATGAAGAACAGAATAGAGGCATGGGAAGACAAAGCACTACATGGCCAATACATTAAAAAAATAGTTGGGAAAGCAGATAATAACAAGACCTGGCAATGGCTAAGAGCAGGAAAATTGAAGAAAGAGACCGAGGGACTAATTCTGGCTGCACAAGACCAAGCCTTAAGGACAAATGCATATAAAGTCAAAATTGAGAAGACAGCAACAGACTGTAAGTGCCACCTATGCAAAGAAGCTGAAGAAACAGTGGACCACTTGGCAAGCTGTTGCAAGAAGATTGCACAGACTGACTACAAGCAGCAGCATGACAAAGTAGCAGAAGATCTGCAAAAAATATCATTTGCCTGTAAGCAAAAACTAGTGGGATCATAAAATAAAGAAAGTCATAGAAAATGATAAAATTAAACTGCTCTGGGACTTCAGAATTCAAACAGACAAGCACCTGCAACATAACACCCCAGACTTAACAATTGTTGATAAGAAAGACAAAAAAGTCTGGATAGTGGACATGGCAGTGCCTGGAGACAGCAGAATAGACGAGAAAGAACTGGAGAAGATAACTAAATACAAAGACCTACAAATAGAAATAGAAAGACTATGGCAAAAGCAAGCAAGGGTAGTACCAATAGTCATAGGCGCCTTGGGTGCAATCCCAAAACAACTGGAGCACCACTTGAACACCACTGGCATTGACAAATTCGCTATTAGTCAATTGCAAAAGGTGGCCCTACTAGGAACTGCTTCCATCCTGCGACGATATCTAATACCATCAAACATCCACATCTGCCTATCCCAGGTCCTAGGTAAGGACTTGATAGGTAGACAAAATGCCAAATCCAGTCTGAACATCTGGCTGACTGTGCAATGATCCATAATAATAATAATATAAGTTGGAAGGGACCTTGGAGGTTATCTAGTTCAACCCCCTGCTCAGGCAGGAAACCCTAGACCATTTCAGACAAATGGCTATCCAATCTCTTCTTAAAAGCTTCCAGTGTTGGAACATTCACAGCTTCTGGAGGCAGGTTGTTCCACTGATTAATTGTTCTAACTGTCAGGAAGTTTCTCCTTAGTTCTAGGTTGCTTCTCTCTTTGGTTAGTTTCCATCCATTGCTTCTTGTCCTGACTTCGGGTGCTTTGGAGAATAGCTTGACTCCCTCTTCTTTGTGGCAGCCCCTGAGATATTGGAACACTGCTATCATGTTACCCCTCATCCTTCTCTTCATTAAACTAGACATACCCAATTCCAGCAACCATTCCTTATATGTTTTAGCCTCCAGTCCCCTTATCATCTTTGTTGCTCTTCTCTGTACTCTTTCTAGAGTCTCAACATCTTTTTTACATCGTGGTGAGCAAAACTGGTTGAAGTATTCCAAGTGTGGCTTTACCAAGGCATTGTAAAGTGGTATTAGTACTTCACGTGATCTTGATTCTATCCCTCTATTAATGCAGCCAAACAGGGGTCACCCAGACAGGGACCTCTTGATCTGCAGTCAAATGCTCTACCATTGAGCTATACCCCCAGCACATTAGATATAATTGTGGTTGAAAAGTGTGGATAATTGATGTGGCAATACCAGGAGATAGTAGAATGGAAGACAATTGGAGAAGATTATAAATTACGAAGATCTGGAAATCAAAATTGAAAGATTGTGGGATAAACTGTCCATAGTGGTCCCAATGATGATTGGCACACTGAGTGTCATACTAAAAAATCTTGGACAGCACCTAAAAAAAAATCTGTGTAATGTTAAAATTTCAATCTGTCAATTGTGACTTCATTTTATTAAGAAATAATAAAAATACAGCATAAATTCCATTTAAAAATAGATCTCTATAGCAACATTTACATTACAAAAAAAGTTAAAAGATTAATTTAAATGATTAGAATGGCTTACATATAGTACGTCAAACTGCAAATGGCATCCACCAGAAAATTGATAGATGAGATACTATTAAGTTGGTGTCAACTCCCAGCAACCATAATAGATTGATTTTCTCTATGGCAATCTGTCCCCTAGCTTGGTCTTTTAGATCAGGCATGTCCAACCTGCAGCCTGTGGGCCACATGTGGCCCAGGACAGCTAGTAATGAGGCCCCCACAAGACTGTAATTTTTTAACATTATATACATTTTTAAAAAAAAAATATTTTTATTGAATAACAAAAATTAAAAACATTGAACATGGTAAATCAACATATATCACAGTTCATATTCACAATTAACTACTAATATAAGAAAAAAACCTTTACAATAATATCACTCTAATCTCAGTCTTAACTTATCTTATCTTATCTTATCTCATTACAATGACTTCCATATTTTTCCCCCACCATCTATAAAATTTATTCCAAATTTGGTAAAAATCCGTTTCATCCTGATTTTTGAGTCTCTTAGTTAACCTATCTAATTCTGCGCAGTGCATAATTTTATGAATTAAGATTTCCTCACTAGGTATAGCCGTAGCTTTCCAATTTTGAACGAATACAATTCTTGCTGCTGTAACCACATGAGTGAATAAATATATATCTTCTTTATTAACATTATTTTCAAGAATTCCTAACAACAATGTCTCAGGCTTATACTGGATGTTTTGCATACTCATTTCTGTTACCCATTCCCAAACCATACGCCAATATCTCTGTGCTTCCTTACATAGCCAACAAACATGAAAATATGTGCCCTTTTCTTTTTTACATTTCCAACATAATGATGAGTATCCTTTGTACATTTTGGCTAATCTTGCTGGAGGGAGATGCCATCTGTAAATCATCTTATACGAATTTTCTCTGTATTAACATTATATACATTAACTACTTTATATATTTTATGTGCAGCCCAAGACAATTCCTCTTCACTCAGTGTGGCCCAGGCAAGTCAAAAGTTTGGACACCCATGCTTTAATTCTTTTAACAGTGCATCCATCACTCCTGTAATTGAGTCCATCCACCTTGCTGCTGATCATCATTTTCTTCTCTTCCTTTTGCTTTTGCAAAAATTAGAGACCTTTTCAGAGAGCTGGACACATTGCAGAATGTGTCTGAAATAGGATAATTTCAGCCTAACCATTTTTGCCTAGAGGGATTTATTTATTTTCCTAGCTATTCTTGGTATTCTCAGGTTTCCTCTCCAATACCAAAGTACAAAGTTTCCCTGATTATGAAATCTGTTCTTGGATTCTGTTTTTTTTTTATTGTTCTTCACAAAGCTGATTTCATTGTTTGAGTCAGCATGGAGTAGTGGTTAAGATGTTGGATTATGATCACGGAGACCGAAGTTCAAGTTCATCCTAAGCCATGAAACTTCACCGGGTGATTTTGGCCAGTCATTCTTAATCTAACCCAGGGGTAGGCAACCCAAAACACTCAAAGAGCCACTTGGACCCATTTCCCACCAAAAACAAAACACCGGGAGCCACAAAACCCTTTTGATATCTAAAATGAAGATAACACTGCATATATCCTTTTTTATCTTTATTATAGGTGTGTGTGTGTGTGTATGTATGTGTGTATATATATATGTATATACGTATATATGTGTATATGTGTGTGTGTGTGTGTACACACACACACACACACACACAGGTAAAAAAAAGGATATATGTAGTGTTATCTTCATTTTAGATGTCAAAGGGGTCTCTCTCTCTGTCTCTCTGTCTCTCTCTCTCCCTCCCTCTCTATCTGCCCTTGGTCTGCCACTCCTCTTCCCCCACTCTCTTTCTTTCTCTCTCTCTCTTTCCTCTCTCTCTCTCTTTCCTCTCTCTCTCTCCCTCCCTCTCTCTCTCTCTTTCTCTCCCCCCCCTCTCCTATCTGCTGCTCACCTGGCAAGCTTCAAGCTGTTGTCCAACAAGCTCAGGGGTAGGCAACCTCGTCTCTTTTATGACTCATGGACTTCAACTCTCAGAATTCCTGAGTCAGCCTAGCTGGGCTAGCTAGGTCTCTCCTGCCCTTCCTGCTTCCTGCTTCCTGCAGAGACGCAGCAAAGGGAGGAGCTCTGCCCAGTAAGCTTTTCAGCTCCTCGGAGAATACTGTGAGTGCATTCTCTTTTACACACACACACACACACACACACACACAGAGAGAGAGAGAGAGAGAGAGAGAGAGAGAGAGAGAGAGAGAGAGAGAGAGAGAGAAGCAGGGAAGCGCAATTGCCTCTCTCTGTCTCTATCTCTCTCTGCAAAGGCAGAGGAGGCTGGGAGCCACAGGGGAAGGCTCAAAAAGCCGCATGCGGCTCCGGAGCCACAGTTTGCTGACCTGTGATCTAACCTAACATATAAGGGAGTTGTTATAAGGAACAACTGGAAATGGGAGTACTATATTTTCTGTCTAGAACTACTGGAGTAAACATAGGGTGTAAATCTAAGAAAGAACAATTTCATGAAAACAAAGGCACAGTTCTAAAGATGTACTTTAAGGGGGGAATGTTAACAGCTCAGCAAGATGAGAACAGCTTGTACCATTGGTTTTTAATGTAATGAAAGGGCAACAAATACTTGTGCATACATTGATATTTGTGGTTATATTTTACCTATGCTGTGCCAAACTTTTCTTTCTTTTCACTTAGATATTCTCATTCAATTTGACTAAATCTTTTTTTTTTCTGCAAAAATGCAGAAAATGTTCATTACATTATCCTGGGAAAGATGTAATGTAGTGATTTTCCTTATCAGGAAGAGCCCTATCTCCCATTGTCCAATATTCTCACAAATCACTCCATAGCCTTTACCTGTAGTAATTCAGTCCAAAGAAAAGGGGGGCTGCTTTATGGGGCAATATCCGTTGCCTGAGATCCATCCACTCCTGACCCTACTACTCTTTAAGAAGGCATCTAAGATCTATTTCTTCCCACTAGCTTGGAGTTAGGTTGAATAATAATAATAATAATAATAATAATAATAATAATAATAATCCCAAAACAATTGGAGCATCACTTGAACACCATCGGCATTGACAAATTCGCTATTAGTCAATTGCAAAAGGCGGCCTTACTAGGAACTGCTTCCATCCTGCAACCCCAGACTTAACAATTGTCGATAAGAAAGACAAAAAAGTCTGGATAGTGGACGTGGCAGTGCCTGGAGACAGCAGAGTAGACGAGAAAGAACTGGAGAAGATAACAAAATACAAAGACCTACAAATAGAAATAGAAAGACTGTGGCAAAAGCAAGCAAGGGTAGTACCAATAGTCATAGGCTCCTTGGGTGCCATCCCAAAACAACTGGAGCACCACTTGAACACAATTGGCATTGACAAATTCGCTATTAGTCAATTGCAAAAGGCGGCCTTACTAGGAACTGCTTCCATCCTGCGACGATATCTATAATACCATCAAACATCCACATCTGCCTATCCCAAGTCCTGGGTAAGGACTCGATAGGTAGACAAAATGCCAAATCCAGTCTGAACATCTGGCTGACTGTGCGATGATCCATAATAATAATAATATGGAGCTGCTAATCATCAGCAATGGGGTAGTCTATTTGATTTTGTTTCCTCCTAGCACAATTGTTTTTGTTATTTGTTTTCTACTATTCTTAAGATGCCCAGACTCATCCATGGTCTTAGAAGTTGAACAAATAAATAAATAAATATTCTCCCGAGAATGTCCCCACTAATACTAGTAAGCTACTAGTATATAAAGAAAGAGCACATCCCCCACTCCCTTCTAGCACTGATTATATTGCCTAGTTGGTAATACCTAGTTTTCAAGAAAACAACCCAGTTCAGAGACCCAGTAGGACCCCACAAATAAATAAATATTTGCTTTATATATAATGTAGCAGCTTACACCCTGCAATGATACTCTAACATCATAAAACATCAGCATCTGCCTATCCCAGGTCCTTGGGAAGGACTCAATAGGTAGACAAAATGCCAAATCAAGTCTGAACATCTGGCTGAAGTACTATTATAATTTAGCATTATATTCTTACATTAATTATAATAGAATTATATTTATTATAATAAGTATAATTTTTTGCATGCCAAAACTAGACTCAAAGACAGTTTTCTTTCTCTGTGCCATCACTCTGCTGAACCTTTAAATCCGGCAGCTAACAGACAGGCTATTCCCCCCAAAGTAATTGGATATCTATAATGGAGACAATGGCAATATTAATGAAGTGATTATTTCTAGAATATAATTTTTTATTGGCCAAGTGTGATTGGACACACAAGGAATTTGTCTCCGGTGCATATGCACATACAACGACGTGATAGGTCACAGATCATAAATCTGTTAGCTGCCCAGAGTTGCCCTAATGGAAAGATGGGCAGCTTATAAATTAAATAAATAAATAAAATATTATTTTTATAGAGTTTAGCGTAGCATACCAATAGTATTTAGTCTTTTATACTGCTACATAGTGCTTTGCAGCATTCTCTGGGTGGTTTACAATGTAAACATTATTTGCAAAAATTCCCCCAACAATTTTGAGTCCACATTTTACCAACCTCAGAAGGATGAAAGGCTGAGTCAACCTTGAGCCCCGTCAGGATCAAACTCCAGGCTGCAGGCAGAGTTTGCCTGCAATACTGCACTTTAACCACTGTGCCACCAGTTGTTTACAGTTGTCATTTGGCTCACTTTTCAATTCAGTACAGTAAGGCAAGTTCATCTAGCCTCAAAACAGAAATCTTTGAAGGATGGACAAATAAGTAAGTAAGAATAGATCACTTGCCTTACATTGGACTCCTGCCTTTGGCTCCCTGGTGAATTTCAGAGGGCAGCCAAGACTTTAATCTGTTTTAACCTCCTGCTATGGCAATGCACTTTAAGCTGACCCACTTGTTTTTATGTCTCTCTGCTGCTGCTGTTTTAATTATTTAACTCATCTATCATGTTTGTTTTAATTGAGTTCTTGCATTTTTAACATGAAAGGGTGTGTGTGTGTGTGTGTGTGTGTGTGTGTGCACGCGTGCGCGCACGCAAAACCTGGTCTAGAAATATTCAGAAAGAGGAGCTAGGTAGACAGACAAATGAGTGCATGCTCAGGACAAAGCTGTCCAAACAATAGAGGCTAAGCCAAAATGTTGTGCCAGGATGTCTGTCTCTCTTGCTGTATATTATTTTCTCACCTCATACTGTCAAACAGGTAGTACATTTTTCTACCAGGGCCAAATGTTTCTAAGATAACAAGTGACCCTCCTAAGGCAGTGGCACAGAACTTTTCTTGGTGGCCTAGTGTTCCAGCTGACAATGTCCTTTGTTCAGAGGTCTTATAGGCCATCAGAACAGATTTCGGACTCCATAGTTTGAGGACAGAATGTTAAATGTTTTTGCGGCATTTAAAGACTAACCTAGGCCCATACATATATATATTTACATATATGGCAAATTTATATAGTTGTCCATCTCTACAAAGTTAAAGTAATTCAACAAAATAACAACAGCAAAATACATTTTTAAAAACCATTTTAAAAGACCTGTGGTTCCCCTAGCAATTCAGCCTCCATAGCTATGTTATTGGTTCCTCATGGCAGATGGCAAAGTCATAGCCAGCAAGACTGGGGTCAGTCTGATCTCAGGAGGAAGATGTCCTAAAGGGAGGGTGCCTTATCAACATTTTCAAAAGAGATTTGCCATTCCTTCTTCCTGGAGCTGGGAGAAGAGGAACTAGCTCAAAGTCCAGTGATTTAGTAGGATGTCTTGAGGATGTCTTAGTAGAATGTCTTAAAGCAGGGATCCCCAACCCCCGGTCTGTGGACTGTCACTGGGCCGCGGCATGCCAGAAACCGGTCCACGCAAACAAAGCCCCATCCGCAGGATGCAGACAGTACATGAAACCACGCCCCCTCCGGTCCATAGAAAAACCTCTCTCCACGGAACCGGTCCCTGGTGCTCAAAAGGTTGGGGACCTCTGTCTTAAGGAACTGAAGTTAAATCGTTTCATTATTTCCTGTCATTTTCTGTTTCTTATATTTTTCTTTCTTTCCTTGTGTCTGATTCTTGAAACTGCCAGGACACATCCCTGCAGTTTTCTTGGCAAGGGTTTTCGGAAGTGATTTGCCATTGCCTCCTTCCTAGGGCTGAGAGGGACTGGTCCAAGGACATCCAGCTGGCTTTTTGCTTAAGGAAAGACTAGAACTCATGGTCTCCTGGTTTCTAGCTGATACCTTCAGCAGCACTGCACACCAGATTCATAGCTTATTTCTCTGTGGTAGGTTTTGTGGTATTGGTTATCATGGAACAATTTCCTGCAATCCTTTCCTTCCTCCTTTCCAGTCTGTATTTTTCATTTCAGATGATATAAAGTTCAAAAATCATAGCAAGCTAAACAGTAGCAAGTTTTATGGACGTCAACAGGAGCCGATAAACCATTCTAAGCTTCAAAGGACACTGGCTGAAGGTTCAAATATGGGATACTAACTTACATTTTCAGATAAGTCAGCTTACAGAACATCAGTTAAGATCAAAGAATGAATCAAACCAGAAACTTTCAATCCAATATCGGTTTTAATAATGATGGTTCCATACCTTTATTTTCCTCTTGACGAGAAGAGGAAAGCAACATGCATCTTTGTTGCTTTACAAAATTTTATCTCTACAAAGTTATCTAATTAATGATAATTTGGGGGAAGTTCCCCTCTTGCACTAACCAGCATGCATATATATTTTTTTCTTTGATGGGGTTACCCTGTGGTAAGATGGGCAGCCAATAAAAATTGTAAATAAATAAATAAATAAAATGAGGTTTTAAGGCAATAATAAAACAGAACAGAAAACAGGTTACGCGACACACCAAGGGAAAAGATGCAGACAGGATAAGTCACACCTAAAAAGCAATTTTCATAAATCCATAATCAAGACAAAAGAATCTGAGACAACAGAAAACTATTGCTAAGCTGGAATAGGCTTAATTCATCAGAGAAATTAAAACAA